AGCCATGATTTGTCATAATTGTGATGATTATGGCTTACAGCTCATGAAAACCCCAAATCCACAATCTCAGAAAATTAGAATATTGTGAAAAGGTGCAATATTCTAGGCTCAAAGTGTCCCACTCTAATCAGCTAATTAAGCCATAACACCTGCAAAGGGTTCCTGAGCCTTTAAATGGTCTCTCAGTCTGGTTCAGTAGGAATCACAATCATGGGAAAGACTGCTGACCTAACAGTTGTGTGCAGAAAACCATCATTGACACCCTCCATAAGGAGGGAAAGCCTCAAAAGGTAATTGCAAAAGAAGTTGAATTTTCCCAAAGTGCTGTATCAAAGCACATTAATAGAAAGTTATGTGGAAGGGAAAAGTGTGGAAGAAAAAGGTGCACAAGCAGTAGGGATGACTGCAGCCTGGAGAGGATTGTCAGGAAAAGGCCATTCAAAAGTGTTGGGGACTTTCACAAGGAGTGACTGAGGCTGGAGTCAGTGCATCAAGAGCCACCACATACAGATGGATCCTGGACATGGGCTTCAAATGTCGTATTCCTCTTGTCAAGCCGCTCCTGAACAACAAACAACGTCAGAAGCGTCTTACCTGGGCTAAAGAAAAACAGACCTGGCCTGTTGCTCAGTGGTCCAAAGTCCTCTTTTCTGATGAGAGCAACTTTTACATCTCATTTGGAAACCAAGGACCCAGAGTATGGAGGAAGAATGGAGAGGCACACACTGCAAGATGCTTGAAGTCCAGTGAAAAGTTTCCACAGTCTGTGTTGATTTGGGAACCATGTCATCTGATGGTGGTGTTGGTCCACTGTTCTTCATTATGTCCAGGGTCAACACAGCCGTCTACCAGGAGATTTTGGAGCACTTCATGCCTTCCTTCCGCAGACGAGCTTTATGGGGACGCTGACTTCATTTTCCAGCAGGACTTGGCAACTGCCCACACTGCCAAAAGCACCAAAACCTGGTTCAATGACCGTGGGATTACTGTACTTGATTGGCCAGCAAACTCGCCTGACCTGAACCCCATAGAGAATCTATGGGGCATTGCCAAGAGAAAGATGAGAGACATGAGACAGAACAATGCAGAAGAGCTAAAGGCCGCTATTGAAGCATCCTGGTCTTCCATAACACCTCAGCAGTGCCACACACTGATAGCTTCCATGCCACGCCGCATTGAGGCAGTAATTGCTGCAAAAGTGGCCCAAACCAAGTACCGAGTACATATGCATGCTTACACTTTTCAGAGGTCCGATATTGTTCTATGTACAATCCTTGTTTTATTGATTGCATGTAATATTCAAATTTTCTGAGATTGTAGATTTGGGATTTTCATGAGCTGTAAGCTATAATCATCACAATTATGACAAATCACAGCTTGAACTATCTTGCTTTGCATGTAATGAGTCTATCTCATATATTAGTTTCACCTTTTAAGTTGCATTACTGAAATAAATGAACTTTTGCACAATATTCAAATTTTTCGAGTTTCACCTGTATATCTGGAAGTGCAATTATTTTAGTAAATATAAACTGCTAAGTACCTTTTCTCATCAGCAGATAGAGCAGTCTTGTGACTTCAGCTGAGCACTGGTTAAAGCTTGTAGGAGGAGTTTTCTTTCTGTTCTATAAGAATGCAAAACTCCTGACCTCTGTCTGGACAGTGCTGATTGGCCCTGTGCTGATCACATACACTCTCCCAAGAAAAAAAAAAAAAACCTCTTTAGCAATACACACTAAACTGAGCATGTGCAGAATAGCTATGGGTTCAGTCTGTCTTATCAGGAGATAGGACGTGGACATTTGAAAAAGAGGAGGGGCCGAGAAGAAATGATCGAATGGCATTTTTTTAGGATTAACCGCTTAAGTTCCACAGTGAGTAACAAGCAAGCTCTACTGCATATACAGACTGATTTTACTGTTGTGGGTGTAGTAAACACTTTAAAAAGGGAGGGGTGGACCAGATGATGAAGGCGTACTTGGCTCTATATAACGCTTTTGTGCTTTATAAAGCAACTGGACATAGTGGATCCTCTCTAACATTCCAGGAAGAGATTATCATGGCCCTTTTGTATCCAGAAGGTGCTGTGGCCCAAAAACCCAAACCAGATGAAGTTAGCCGGCTGCATGAGAGGCATTTTCCTGATGCCATTCCTGGTATCCTAACCAAAAAGGCACCCCAAAAAGATGTGTTTGTAGCAGACATGGAATTAGGCATGACACCTGCTTTTTATGTCCCTCCTGTTCTGGCCAACCTGGTCTCTGCCTCAAGGACAGCTTCCGTCGCTACCATACCATAGTGGACTATTAGTATAGGGTACAGCATGGCACAGTCTAGGGTACACATTTATACAGGGTCTCGAAAGAAGTTAGGTAGTCAGGAAACTGGCTATTGCATTTTGAGAGGCCCTAACATCTGGAAGTTCAAAAAAGCGGAAAAAAAAAAATAGTAAAAAAGTAAAAAAAAAAAATAAAAAGCGAAAAAAAAATTAAGAATTAAAAAAACAAAAATAGTTGTCATTTTATTGTTGTCGAGTTACAATTTTATTGTTAACCATTGCTGTTTTCTTTGCAGGAATGCCATTCAGCTGCCACACCGATCTGATTATTCTGACAGCAACAGGGTCTTGCGCTCAGAATATACAGAAGTGTGTGCAGTGCTGTTGGATGGGATTTTCCATCTGCAGTTAAAAAAGAGAATATATGCCCCAGCATGGGGGCCTGGGGTGGCCAGTGGGTGATGGCCCCTATGCTTCAGCATATATATTTTATAATATTTTGGCACATATTTCAATAAAAAAAAATTTCTATTTAGTTACTGTTTTATTGATACTGTTTTATGTTTAATTTCTTTATTATGAAGTATGAAGTAGTTGCAAGTAGTACAGAAATACGTAGCATTTATACAAAGCATATGAATAACTGTGCCAAAAACATAACAACATCACATGATCAACACAATATAATACAATATAGAGCAGCAGAAGAGGAAAATTCACTAGAGATGACCAAAACATTGGGAAAAATTAGGCTATCATATTCAGTTCAATTAAGAAAGATATAATCAGGGAAGCATGTGAAATATCAAATCACCTGTAAAATAAGCGATACCAACATACTATGAAGCCATTATTGGATAGGACAAAAGAAAAGTAGGAAACAGAAAAGAAAGAGAGATATTAAAAAAAAAAAAAAAACTCCATGGGGGGATGAGGAATTAGATTAGCAAAAAGGACTGTTGACCTAAGCAGAAATAAAAGAGTCAAAGCCCGTTGAAAATCTGAAGTGAGACCACACTGTCCACATAAGCTTGAATGATTCGGATTTATCCTCGTCCCATGCAATCATCCATTCCATATATTCAATCTTGTCAACCTCACAAGTACATTCAGCTGTAGACGGAGCCTCAGTCTAACGCCAATGTCTGGCGATCACAGAATGAGCAGCTGTAATAAAGTGTCGTATAAAACTTCTTTTAAATTGCTTATACGAACCTGGCAGCATAGACAATATGGTAATCCAAGGTTCAATTGAAATGTTGTCTCCCACTAATGTATTAAACAAATTGAGTATTTTCTCTCAGAAAGGTAAAATTTTCGAGCAAGTGCCCCAAATATGGGTCATGGTTCCAGGTTCTTTTAAGCATCTCCACCACATCTCAGGGATAGATGGGTCAATTTTATGCAAAATCCTAGGGCAACGATACCATCTAGGCAGGAATTTTGCAATTTCGCTCATGAGCATATGAAGATACAGATAATTTGTATGTTATAGCCAGTATCTTGTCCCAATCCAATCCGTCCACTGATGTGTGCAGTTTCTTTTACCACTTAGAAAGGAACAGAGGGGGATACGGATATGTCTCTAGCAGTAAGATCTGGTATACCTGCGAAAGTGTATGGTCAGGTCTAGACAATGGGGATAGGAGACATTTGAAAGTCAAGGAAGATCGTGTCAGAAGATCTGTATAGCACCGCTTACTCAGATAATGTTTCAATTGTGTATATTCCAACCATGCAAGTGCTGCGCTATGACAAGAGGGAAGAATTTGGAAAAGAGGTAAAAAGGTCTGGCTACACAAAGTGTGGCACAGTAGAGGAATGACGCTAGCCCAAACAATGGGGTCAAAGGGCTTGGCCTAGAGGACACTAGTCCCATTCATAAATAAGTATCCCAAATTTGTAAAGTCGCATTAAGTAAGGAGTATTAAATTTATCTGAGGCCTCTGTCCAGGTTCCAAACAAGGAAAAGGATGTAAGGTCAGGGGTCAAAAGATCATTCTCCAACTGAGTAGACTCAGTAACTTAATAACTTGGTAGATTGACCATGGTACTAGTCAATCATTCTGAGCAGAGAGGCTGCATCACAGAAAAGCAGGAAAATGGGCAGGGCCACCCCACCCCTACATTTCGGTATTGATAGAATAGTGGATCGAGTTCTAGGTTTCTTATGGGCCAACAGAAACGTGCGTATCGCCCTGTTTAATGACAAAAAGAAATCTGGAGTTGGAGGGATTGGGATAGCCTGAAAAGTGTATTAACAATTTCTGTAAGATGTCCATCTTGATGCCATTCACTAGACCAGCGGTTCTCAACCTGGGGGTCGCGACCCCTTTGGGGGTCGAACGACCATTTCCCAGGGGTCGCCTAAGACCATCGGAAAACACATATTTCCAATGGTCTTAGGAACCGAGACACCGCTGCTGTCTCCGGCGATGTGTGTTTGGGCGGGATGATACGCTGCTCCTGTCACCTGGCCACACCTCCGGGATCGCTCAGCAGCTCCGCCTCCTCGCCGCTGATTGGCCACCGAACTGTAGCTCAGGAGAGGCACACAGGCGGCCAATCACCGGCGAGGAGGTGGAGCTTGGAGAGGAGGAGCCGAGCGGCAGCGCGCGTTACATCAAAGAAGACCGAGGGGAGCTGCCGGAGCGAGTGAAGAGGAGAGCGGCCAGAGAAGGAAGACAGCTGACAGGTAAGTGAGAGAGCGAGCCCAGGCTGTCACTAATACCAACGATGGGGCACTATTCCTCCCCCCACTGACACCAACGATGGGGCACTATTCCTCCCCCCACTGACACCAACGATGGGGCACTATTCCTCCCCCCACTGACACCAACGATGGGGCACTATTCCTCCCCCCACTGACACCAACGATGGGGCACTATTCCTCCCCCCACTGACACCAACGATGGGGCACTATTTCCCCCCCCCCCCTGACCCCAATGATGGGGCACTATTCTCCCCTCCACCACACTGACATCAATGATGGGGCACTATTCCTCCCACTGACACCAATGATGGGGCACTATTCCTCCCACTGACACCAGTGATGTGGCACTATTCCTCCCACTGACACACCAGTGATGGGGCACTACTCCCACTGACACCAGTGATGGGGCACTACTAATGACACCAATGATGGGGCACTATTCCCTCCCACTGACACCAATGATGTGGCACTATTCCTCCCACTGACACCAGTGATGGAGCACTACTCCTCCCACTGACACCAGTGATGGGGCACTACTCCCCCCACTGACACCAGTGATGGAGCACTACTCCCCCCACTGACACCAATGATGGGGCACTACTCCCCCCACTGACACCAATGATGGGGCACTACTCCTCCCACTGACACCAATGATGGGGCACTACTCCTCCCACTGACACCAACGATGGGGCACTATTCCTCCCACTGATACCAACGATGGGGCACTATTCCTCCCACTGACACCAACGATGGGGCACTATTCCTCCCACTGACACCAACGATGGGGCACTATTCCTCCCACTGACACCAACGATGGGGCACTATTCCTCCCACTGACACCAACGATGGGGCACTATTCCTCCCACTGACACCAACCATGGGGCACTATTCCTCCCACTGACACCAACGATGGGGCACTATTCCTCCCACTGACACCAACGATGGGGCACTATTCCTCCCACTGACACCAACGATGGGGCACTATTCCTCCCACTGACACCAGTGATGGGGCACTATTCCTCCCACTGACACCAGTGATGGGGCACTATTCCTCCCACTGACACCAGTGATGGGGCACTATTCATCCCACTGACATCAGTGATGGGGCACTATTCCTCCACTGACACCAGTGATGGGGCACTATTCCTCCCACTGACACCAGTGATGGGGCACTATTCATCCCACTGACATCAGTGATGGGGCACTATTCCTCCCACTGATACCAACGATGGGGCACTATTCCTCCCACTGATACCAACGATGGGGCACTATTCATCCCACTGACATCAGTGATGGGGCACTATTCCTCCCACTGACACCAATGATGGGGCACTATTCCTCCCACACTGATACCAATGATGGGGCACTATTCATCCCACTGACATCAGTGATGGGGCACTATTCCTCCCACTGATACCAACAATGGGGCACTATTCCTCCCACTGACACCAACGATGGGGTACTATTCCTCCCACTGACATCAGTGATGGGGCGCTACTCCTCCCACTGCAAAATTACAGTTATGAAGTAGCAATGAAAATAATTTTATGGTTGGGGGTCACCACAACATGAGGAACTGTATTAAGGGGTCGCGGCATTAGAAAGGTTGAGAACCACTGCACTAGACCAAACCATGAGATGTGTGGCTTGTCATATGTTTGTGATACTGTTTTATTGTTAACCATTGCTGTTTTCTTTGCAGGAATGCCATTCAGCTCAGCATTGATATGTTTATTCTGACAGCAACAGGGTCTTGCTCTCTGATTATAAGTGTGTGCTTGCAGCGCTGTTGGATGAGATTTTTCATCCGCGGTTAATAAAAGAGCATATATGCCCAAGCATGGGGTGGCCAGTGGGTGGATAGCCCCTATACTTTGGCATATATTTTTCAGAACTTTTTTGGGCAGAGATTTCTTCATCTACATTGATCAATGTGAATAGAAGAACCTGATAGGTTCTTTTTTTTTTTTCATTCAGCCCACAGGCTGAATGAAAAAAAAAGAACATTTCATGTGTGCCCACTAATAGAAGTGGGTGGATTATATTCTAATGGTGAGCATACCACACACACTTTTTATGAAAAGATTTATTCTCCTTTTTTTCATTCAGCCCACAGGCTGCATAAAAAAAAACATAGCATATATATCCATATATACTGGTCCCATCACTGGACTTTGAGTGGTTATACCAGGATGATGCCTGCAGCTGCTAATTTGTGTGGGGATTGTGTTATCTTGGAATTTTAGAGCCTCTGAAACTGTGATAGGTAGTGAGGAAGTGAAATGAGGAATTTACACATGATCAGGCTTTCAAAGGACTCATTGGATTTTGAGCTCCTGTATGTGGATAGGCTCCCAAAAAAGTCTCATATGCGTGGTATGTATATTTTGGAGTGTAATTCCAAATATACTCATGGAATGTGTGAGAAATATACCATATAAATGACAACTTTGTGTCAAAAAATAAATCTTCCATGGACTCAACATGCCTCTCAGCAGATAGCTTAGAGTGTCTACTTTCCGAAAAGGGGTCATTTGGAGGTGTTTGCACTGCCCTGGCATTTCAGCACCTCAAGAAATGTTATAGGCAGTCAGAAAGTATAGGCTGTGTAAATTCCAGTATCTACAGTTGCAAGAAAAAAAAGTATGTGAACCCCTTGGGATTACGTGGAGTTTTTGCATGAATTGGACATAAAATGTGCTCTGAACATCATCTTAGTCACAACAATAGAAGAAAACAGTCTGCTGAACATAATACTACACAAACATTAGATGTTGCCATGGTTTAATTGCACATAACATGTAAACATTCACAGTGCAGGGAGGAAAAAGTATGTGAACCTTTGGACTTAACTGGCTGACCCTCCTTTGGCAGCAATAACCTCAACCAAACGTTTCCTGTAGTTGCAGATCAGACCTGCACAACGATCTGGAGTAATTTTGGACCACTCCTCTTCACAAAACTGTTTCAGTGTAGCAATATTCTTGGGATGTCTGGTGTGAATCGCTCTCTTAAGGTCATGCCACAGCATTTTAATCGGGTTTGAGGTCAGGACTCTGACACCACTCCAGAAGGCGTATTCTGTGCTGTTGTAGCCATTGTTTTGTTGAATTACTTGTATGCTTTAGGCCATTGTCCTGTTGCATCACCCATCCTCTGCGGAGCTTCAGTTGGTAGACAGATGGTCGTACGTTTTCCTGCAAAATGTCTTGATAAACTCTGGAATTCATTTTCCAAACAATGACAACAATCCGTCCGGGCCCTGAGGCAGCAAAGCAGCCCCAAACCATGATGCTCCCTCCGCCATGTTTTACAGTGGGGATGAGGTTTTGATGTTGGTGTGCTGTGCTGTGCCTTTTTTTCTTCACACATAGTGTTGTGTGTTCTTCCCAAACAACTCAATCTTGGTTTCATCTGTCCACAGTATATATTTGCCAGTAGTGCTGTGGAACATCCAGGTGCTCTTTTGCAAACTTCAAACGTGCTACAATATTCTTTTTGGACAACAATGGCTTCCTCCGTGGTGTCCTCCCATGTACTCCATTCTTGTTTAATCTTTTCCTTATTGTAGATGTGTCAACAAAAATGTTAGCATGTGCCAGAGATTTCTGTAGGTCTCTGACGCTCTGGGATTCTTCTTTACCTCATGCAGCATTCTGCGCTGTGCTCTTGCAGTCATTTTTACAGGACAACCACACCTAGGGAGAGTAGCAACAGTGCTAAACTTTCTCCATTTGTAGACAGTCTGTCTTACCGTGGACACATGAACATCAAGGCTTTTGGAGATACTTTTGTAACCCTTTCCAGCTTCATGCAAGTCAACAATTCTTGATCATAGGTCTTCTGAGAGCTCTTTTCTGCGAGGCATGGTTCACATCAGACAGTGCTTCTTGAAACCAGGAAACCCAAAACAGGTGTGTGTTTTTTAAGGGCAGGACAGCTGTCAGCAACACATCCAATATCATCACACTGATTGTAGTCAAGGTTGGCTCACTCCTGGCTCCAATTAGCTCTGGGAGAAGTCATTAAGCTAGGGTCTCACATACTTTTTCCTCCCTGCACTGTGAATGTTCACATGTTATGTGCAATTAAACCAAGGCAACATCTAATGTTTGTGTAGTATTATGTTCAGCAGACTGTGTTCTTCTATTGTTGTGACTTAGATGACGTTCAGAGCACATTTTATGCCCAATTCATGCAAAACTATATATTTTTTATAACCAAAAGTAAAAAATATCGGGTTTTTTTTTTTCAAAGTTTTCGGCCTTTGTTTGTGCAAAAAATAAAAACCCAGCGGTCATCAATTACCACCAAAAGAAATATCTATTTGTGTGAAAAAAGGACATACATTTTGTTTGGGAACAGCATTGCATTACTGCATAATTGCCAGTTGAAATAGCACAGCACCATAATGCAAAAATGGCCTGGTCAGGAAGGGGGGTAAATCCAATGGAGGGCAAGTGTTAATATTTAGTAGCACATCCTTTGGAAAAAATAGCTGAAATCAATTGCTTTCTGTAACTATCAATGAGTTTCTTCCACCTCTCTACTGGAATTGTGGACTACTCTTCTTTTGCCAACTGCTCCAGATCTCTCAGATTGGAAGGGTCCCTTTTCCTAACTGCTGTTTTGAGATCTCTCCACAGATGCTTTATGGGGTTGAAATCTGGACTCATTGCTTGCCAGTTCAGTACTCCCCGGAGCTTTTGTCTGCACCAATTTCTGGGTGCTTTTTGAAGGGTCCTTTGGGTCATTGTCCTGCTGTAAGACCCATGACCTCTGATGGAGACCCAACTTTTTGACACTGGGCCCTATATTGGAACCCAGAATTCTTTGCTAGTCTTCAGATTTCATAATGCCATGCACACAGTCAAGACATCCGGTGCCTGAAGCAACAAAGTAACCCCAAAACATCAGTGAACTTCCACCATGTTTGACTGTAGGGACTGTATTCTTTTCTTTAAAGACCTAATTTATTTTTCAGAAAAAAGTAGAATGATGGGCTTCACCAAAAAGATGCAATTTTGTTTCCGCTGTCCACTGCAAAAAAGGAGTTTGGCTTCCTTAGGTAAGTTTTGGCAAACTCCAATCTGGCTTTTTTTTTTGTTTCTGTGTCAGCAGTGGGGTCCTCCTGGGTCTCCTAGCATATCGCCCCCTTTCATTAGATTGCAATGTATAGTGCAAGCTGACACAGTTGTACCCTGAAGGTCAGCCTGAATTTGTCTGGAAGTTGATGAGGTTCTTTATCCACCAAACAATTCTTTATTGCAATCTTTGATCAAGTTTTTCTCTTTCGTTCACATCCAGAAAGATAAGCTACAGTGCCATGGGTTATAAACTTCTTGACAATGTTGCGCACAGTGGACCCAGGAACATTAAGATATGTTAACCGCTTCCCGACCGCCCCATAGCAGAAATACTGCTACAGGACGGCACGGGTGCGCAAAATCAGGTATATATGCATGATTTTGCATTTCCAGGTAGGGGGTGCGCGCACTCTACCCGCACCACCATTCATGGCCGGGGCTGTAAATCACCGGGTCCCAGCCGATGCTTACCGAGCATCTCCGATGGGGAGGAGGACTGTTTTGTTTACTAACCGTTTTCATCCCTGTCAGCTTGGGCACACTGCTCTGGATGGCTGAGCAGTGTGAGTACAGTGAAGCACACAGATACCGCCCCCTAGTAAAACAAACCCAGCACACAGTTAGCCCTTTGATTGCCCCTCATGTTAACCCCTTCCTACCCAGTGCCATTTGTACAGTGTCCGTGCTTTTTTTTTTTAGCTT